TTCACAGTGCTTTCTATGTACTGTGTGTGTGTGTGTGTGTGTGTGTGTGTGTTGTTACCCAAGATCAAGACGTAGTATGTTGCTATTGTGAGGCGCCATTGAGGCATTTCTGACCCATAGCGGCCCTGTGGACAATAGAGTGAGACACAGCCCCGCCCTCATGCTCACCAGTGTTCCTGTGCCTGAGCCACGGAGGCAGCCAGTGTGTCCGTCCATCTCTCTGCGGGCCTTCCTCTTCTCCACCGCCCCTCCACGTCACCAAGCGTGCTGTCCTTCTCCAGGGACTGGTCTCGCATGACAGTATGTCCGAAGTATGTAAGAGGAAGTCTTGGCATCTTTGCCTCTAAGGAGCGTTCTGTCTGTCTGTCTGTCTAAGACGGATCAGTTCGTTCTTTTAGCAGTCCATGCTACTTGCGATACTCGTCTCCGGCACCACCATTCAAGCGCATTGATTCTTCTTTGGCCTTCCTTATTCAGTGTCCAACCTGCACACACAGGTGAGGCCAGGGACACTACTGTACTTGGATCTGACACACCTGTCTTCAAAGGAACAGCTTTGCTTTTCAGTGCTCTAAAGAGGTGGATACAAAGTATAGTTTTATATAAAGCATATGTGTATCCTCATGTAATATTTATCATACATTATTAGTTATTGTATAATTAATATTAATGTATTAATTAATATCAGTTTTATTGATTTTTAACGTGTTCAAAACCAAAGATGTCACTTTGGTTGCTATCTGCTGTCAATTCCAGCTCCAGGATGAAGTGTAGCCAGGCTTGCTTTGAGCAACCTTCTGGTGTATTTCATTCAAGACCGTGTTGTGATATCTTTTCAAGACAGTCCATCGTATATTTAATAGCCTTCACCAACGACATAAGTCAAAGACATCAATTCTTCAGTCTTCTTGATTCACTGTCTAGCTTTCACATGCATGTGAGGGGACTGAAAATACCACCGCGTGGGTGACGTGGGGAGAAAGAGGCTTTCTACTCCCGTGAAGAGTCACAGCCCCAGAAGCCTAAGGGGGCCGTTCTACTCTGTTCTACGGGGTTGTTATGAGGTGCACATTAGGTTTTCTTCATGTTCCTAGAATATTAGAGATTCTGTGTAATTAAACTTACACATTGTTATTTAAAAAAATCACCACTTCAGACTCAAAACGTACCCTCAGAAGTTAAAATATACTTTAGAACTCTGGTTTTCTTCTAAAAAGATTTGCAGTGAATAAATCCTTGTGGATCTCATTTTTCAAGGTCTGTGGGTCCCTAAAACAGTCCCCGCTTGTTCTCTACCTAGTTGGTTTGTTCACGTCAAGGAACCAGGGTTTCTCGATTGTTTCCCCAGAAGAGGACCGCTTTTGTGCTCTGCTACCATTTTCTTGGGGTCAGGTGGCTTTTCTAGACTGTCTCTCTTTGGGCCTGATTGGATTTGTCTAAGGGAAAATCTCAATTTTTAAATAGACTGACTCCAAGTGCTACACCTTTGGGGCCTGGTTAAATACTGAGAATGTCAGACCCGGCTTAGAGCTACACTTTTCTAGCCAGGTTTACACCATTCTTGGGTTTGCTTCTGTTTACTGGTTGACAGGGCTTCCTTGAACATTTGCTCATTTTGAGGAATGGGGTTGAATGGAGAATAATATTAGGGAAAAGGTTTTAAGGTTTCTTTGCTCAATACTCCGCAGCTCTCTAACCCTGCCATTTATCTTTTCCATACGAACACACTCAGAATCCTCCATGTGTGCTTATAAATCAAATGCAAGTGTTTATGAGACCAGGAAGTTAAATATCCATGGTTGGAAACCATTTCTTTCTTTAAAAGGTCATAGTTCTAAGCACTCTACATGCTATTCAATGTTTTCCTTTTATAGAACATCTGCATGTTCTATACTCACATAGGCAGAGTTACATCGTACTTAAAAGACCTACAAATGCCTAAAGCGCAATTTCCCTTAATCAGTTCATTGGCTTCCTCAATTTAATTAATACAATTTTAAAACATGTTCAATGGAGCATTGTAGTCTTGGTTGGCATCTGCTCTCATCCTTCTGGGATTCATTTATAAAAATGATATGTTCATCCTCCGAGTTCCTGGAGTTAAATTCTTTTTCTGGGTAGGTCTTTAGAACTCAATCCATTAGGTTGCATTCTGCCACAATTATCTATTTGAACTTCCAGAAGCATATTTCTTGGAAGGAGTTGGGAAAAATACTTTATAAAATAACGTGTTTTCACTCTGATACATGATGGTAGGCCTGTAAACAAATTAAGAAACAAAACATTTCTTCAGTGCCTTTCAAAATATGCCCATCATTCAAAATAGCAATTGCACTCCTATGAATTCATCCAAGTGGCGTGGAGGAATAATTATGGAAGTACATTAGTATTTTGAGCGCAAAAATTATAAAAACAAACAGCAACAGCAAAAACCAGTTTATTGGTACCTAATCCACATATTATACAATTCAATAGCACAGTCATAGCAAGAAGAGTTGTACCACAATCAATTTTAGAAAATTTCTTCCTTCTTATGCTCCTTGTTATTAGCTGTCCCTCCCCTTTCCTCCCCTGCTGTTCCCTTAAGAGACTATTAATCCAGTTACTGCCTCTATAGATCCCCCGATTCTGGATTTTGTAAATAAAAGACATACCACAACAAAACACAAAGAATCAAAAAGGCCAGCAACAAAAACAAAAAAAATAGAGGAAAAACCCCAGCTGAAAAGAAAGGAAACAAATAGTAATAAGTAGAACAACTGTAAAATGGGTCAGAAGGGAGCTCTGACGAGAAGTGGTACATACGTGTTAAGCTGGCTGCATCTGCCACGATGGACTCTCAGTGCATGGTCGCAAGGCTGGTCGCATCTCTGCTCCCTGCTCAGAAGGGTTCACAAAAGTCTTTCATCAGTGATTTTGTAATAGTGAATACTAAAGATAATACTAATTCCCTTGGATAGAATATTAGCTAACTAAATCACAGTGTATCTTTCATATTGGAATCATGATGTAGGAAAACAGTGATTGAAAGTAGCAAGCTCTTATCCTCCTATGGATGCATAAATATGGTGGTGGTTTAATAAATACATGTCAAACTGTTCACTCTTTCTGAGGAATGGATTAATTTTTTTCATGTATATATTAGCTATACATTAATAATGATCATAACCTGGGCCATGAAACAAACTTTGTTTTTAAATCATTGTACTAGGGGGGCTCTTACAAATCATAGGACAATCCATCATTCAATTGTGTTAAGCACACTGGCACATATGTTGCCATCAACATTTCCAAAACATGTTCTTTCTACCTGAGCCCTTGGTATCAGCTCCTCTTACCCCCGCCCCTCATGAATCCTTGATCCATTATATAGTATTGTTGTTATTTCGTGTCTTACACTGTCCATTGTCTCTCTTCACCACATTTCTGTGATTCATCCCCCTGGGGAGTGGGCTATAGATCCAACCTTGTGATGGGTTCCTCCTCCCCACTGCCCCACCACCCAAAACAAACATTTAAAAATTTGAAATCAGACTATGAGAGGACTGCAAAACAGTTCATGGAAAAAAATCTATTCTTTTTTACTTACATTTTTTTTCATTAACTGTTTGAAACCCCCTTGTGTGCTTTGACTATACATGAGTTAAACTTGAAATAAGTAAAAGATATCTTTAAAATGTTCTAAATATTTAGAAATTAAGTGATATCTAATAACAGAAAAGTCACTCAATGCCCCTGTGGGACAGGGTAGACTGACCCTGTGAGCTTCCAAGACCGTTACTTTTCAGAGGACTGGAGAGGCCGGTCTTCCTCTCGAAGTGTGGCTGGTGGCTTCAAACAGCTGCCCTTACGGTCAGCAGCCCAACATGAAACCCTGTACCACATGGGCTCCTGATAGAGGTCTAGATTAGATAATCAGTGGAGCAACGAGTAAACTGCAATCAAAATTAGAAAAAAATACTGTATTTGGAATTAAGTGAAAATGGAAGGAACCTATCAAAATGTGTGGGCTGACGCTGAGGTAGTGCTGAAAGGGCAGTTTACATTACTGAATGCTGATATTAAAACATATAAAAGTCACAAATCTATGATCGAGGGTTCCTCCTCAAGATACTTAAGGGTGGAAAAATAACAAAGTAAACCAAAGCAAGGCAGAGCAGAAATCAGTGAACCGGAATCCAGAGTAGAGACGATGAGTGAGATCGGAACTGCAGCTCTAGCATAAATACCATGGATGAATCTCCAGCCAGACTGACCCACGAGCGAAACAGACACAAACAATCAACAACTGCAGCGAAAGGAGATCTTCCTGGAAGAGAATATTGCAAACAACTTGATGTCCATAAATTCAACAACACAGATGAATTGGAAAGAGCTCTGGAAATACATACACTATCAAAGTAGACCAAAAAAGAAGAGAGAACAAATTGTTATATATATATCTCATAGGTTCCCAAATGTATTTGTCGTTCCAGTCCCTTTTCAGGAATAAAAAAAAGCATTCAGTGTCCCTTGGCAATGAACTTTGGTACTACAGCCCATAATCCAGGATAAAGTATAGGTGTTGCTTTGGACGCCCCCCTGGATTGTACCAGTACCCACAGAGGGGTGTATCACCCACTTGGGAAACACTGATATATAGGAAAGAAACTGTATTTATAATTAAACACTTTTTCAGGTTCTGTGGCTTCATTTTATAGCAACTATTTAAGGAAGAAACAAAACTAATTGTTTGAAATTACATCCAATAAACAGAACAGGAGGAAACACCCAACCTTCCAAAATAGGCATAACATTGCACACGGCCATCTAAGATGTACCTATTGGTCTGTCCTGGTCTGGGGCCGAGAAGAGTGAAGAGAGTCCAAGATGCAAGGAAACCACTAGACCAAAGGACTAACGAACCACTTCAGCCTCTGCTGCCCGAGACCAGAAGAACCAGAGGGCTCCCGGCTACAGTAGAAGGTCCTGGTCAGAGAAGGGGGGCAGACGTTGTGGATCAAAACTCAAAATCGTACAAAGAAAAGATGATCTGGATTTCCTGATCGAATAGAGATTGGTGGAACTTCCAAGACTATGATCCCTAGACACCCTGAAAATCTGGAACTAAGCGTACCCCCAGGGATCAAATCTGGAACTAAACCAACCCCTAGGGATCACCTTTCAGTCTAACAATAGATATGCCTATAAAATGTACAATAACACCAAAATGTTTTTCTCTGAATGATTAGCCATACAAGACCGTAAGAGCAGCATTTACCCCATCACAAGGCAGGAAGAGTCAGAAAAGACAGAGGAATGGAAAGGCAGTCTCCAGGGAGGAAGTGGGAGCTATTAGCTGGAGGGGATGGCAGCTAATGTAATCACTAAACAAAAGTGAGTATTATTTGTTGACTAGGAAACTAACTTGGTCTGTACATTTTTACCTGACCCACAACAAAATCAAGTGTTAATATTATCACACACATTCACATCAAGGAAAAGACAATACAAGAAAACAACAAACCTACATCATAAATCATTGGGAAAATGCAAATGAAAGCCACAATAATACACCGTTACACACCTATTAGAATGACTACAACGAAAAAGACTAAGAACACCAAGGTTTGATGAGGATGCAGAGCAATGGAACGTTCATGCATTCCTCATGAGAATGTGAAGTCAGGTAGGCATTTTGAAAATAGGTAGGCAGCAATCTCACTCCTAGATTTTACTCAAGATGTATCAACACTGATATGCACGCAGGAGCCCTGCGGGCACATGTGCACCATTGTTAGCTGAAAGATCAGGAGAAAGAGAACAATCAGCTTCCATAAATAATATAAAATGAAATCCCAAACCATTCCCACTGCCACCTACAGAATAGGACTGGCCCATAGGATTTCCAAGACTAAATCTTCATGGAAACAGACTGCAGCCGGTGGGTCTGAATGGCTAGCCTCTTGGTGAGCTGCCTGCACTTAAACCCTGCACCACGGGGCTCCTTCTCCATGTAATACTATCTACAAAACCAAAAAGCAGCAAACATTGTCATAATTGTCTTAGTTGTTTAGTGGTGCTTTAACAGAATACAGGTGAGTAAATAGCTTTAACAGACAGTTATTCCCCCACAGAACAGGAGAATAGGATAGGGCTTTCTCTTTCTGCAAGTTGTGGAGAAAGGTCCTTGCCTCCTTTACGTACCTGTAGGCTTGGCATTCCTAAGTGATCTCCATGTGTCTGACAGCAATCTCCCTCTGCGTCTAGGGATCTCTTAGTGCAGAAGCCCCAGTCCAAAGGACACACTTCACCCCCAGCTGTTCTTTCTTGACAATATTAGAGGCTCCTCCCTCCTCACTTCTCCCTCCTTTGGTCTCTTGTAAGATAAAGGGTGTGGTTTGCCACACCACAGAGAAACTCCACTACATCAGATGGGGGTTGTGATGGGTCTTAGGATATTGTACACCACACTTACTCCTCTTACTGGTGGTTTATGACATCAAATCTCAGGGGATCATCGCCTAGCCACCACATTGCATCATTATGTAACTGCCAAACACTAAGCATCATGTACCAACCAACTTGCCACATATTTGAGGGAGACACAATTCAATTTATGACAGTAATAGTGAAATATTTAAAACTGAGGTAGAAAGTTGACAAGGATGTCACCAATTACCACTTCTATTCTGCACCGTACTGGAGATCCTAGCTGGGGCCATGAGACAAGAAAAAGAAATAGAAGCTACAAGGATTGGAGAGGACAACCTAAACCAATCACAAATAGAAACTCTAAAACAATCTACAGAGGAATTTAAAAAAACAATATGAGCATTTTTTAAGATGGCTACTTATATACTGTATTTCCCCCAAAATAAGACATCCCCCGAAAATAAGACCTACTTACAGTTTTGTCTCTCGCTGAAATATAAAGCATCCCCCCAAAATAAGGCCTCCTCGAACATAAGGCCTCCCTGATAATAAGGCCCCCCGAAGCTACCGTAACTCTGGACTCTGGACCATAGCTGTGGGCGCCGCCACACAGCTCACTGCTGGCCATAGCGCAGCCAGAGCAGACAGGAAGTGTGAGTAAATGTACCATAGAGTATGAGTAAATGTACCATAGATTATGAGTAAATGTACCATAGATTGTTGTACATGGAAATAATGGTAGTAACAAGAAATTCTTGATTCTGTAGGATTCACAGTTTGTCTGGTTATGCTGGTTTGTGATGACAACTACTACCGTACCGAATACAGGTCATAAATTTCCTTTTTTTGTTGTTCAACAATAAATGTGTACCATATTCTTCTTCATGGAAAAATAAGACGTTCCCTGAAAATAAGACCTAGTGCATCTTTGGGAGCAAAAATTAATATAACACACTGTCTTATTTTTGGGGAAACGGTACATACAATTAAGTAATTGTAATTCTATATATCAGCAAAGCAAAAAATGAGAAGTACAACCTACAAGAGCATAAAATTCATATTCCAAGAATAAATGTAACAATCAATGGGCAAGACCTCTATCCAGAAAACTATAAAATATCACTGAGAGAATTTGAACAATGTAGAAATAGGTATACTGTTTCAATGTTGTTCAAATACTGTGTTCATAGATTGAAAGACTCAGTAATGAAAAAATATTTGAAGGGAGGCATTGGTCAGTGTAAGACATGAACAAACAATAATAATTTAAAATTATCAAGGGTTCATGATGGAAGGGAGGGGGCAAAATGAGGAGCCACACGCCGAGGAAAACGTTTGGGAACAACTAATGTGCTGCTGGCAAACACGTCCCTTCTATACCCTCATCCTAATGTCCACCTCATCTGGTAAGCTCCCCGCTGTTGCGGAAAAGCGGAGTCCCTTGTAAATAAGAGACGAGGGCCAAGTGCCTCCGTCCTTGTTCCTTTCCCTCGAGGGGCCTCCTCTTTGGGGATCAAAATTGGCTCCCATACTGATTGCTGAGAAATGTCCTAATTGATAAAGCGGGCTGTGGTGTGATGAAACACGTACCATTATTTTCTTAGGTTGGGGAGACTCCAGTAGGTACTTATTTAAAATGTTGCCTGGGAAAGTTGTGTACATAGAGACTGAACATTTTCCTCCCCGGAGGCTTGTCTCCATCATTTTTGATGGCTTCCTCGGACACCAGTTCCTCTGGTGGTAAAGGGCTGCACACGGCGAATCTGAACAGTGAGACCCGCAGACGGCTACAGACGGTTACACAGCCCTCCAATCACCATGGAGCCTTGGCCATGCCCGGTCCTCGAGCGCGAGCACAGAGAAGTGACCCCTGGCCACAAGAGGGTGCTAGGGAATCTCTTCAAATAGGACATGAATAGTTTCAGCACCTCCGTGCGGGGAAATCTGTCAGGTGAAGTGGGGAACCAAGATTGCTTATTGACAGAGAAACTCTGTTTTCCAAACAACCATTGAGATGGTGTCTTAAGACTTCTTTTTGGGGTGAGGGGGGCGGATGAAAAGAGGTGCAATTATCCTTTATTTGCTTATTGTTTTTCACATGTAATTGAGCTCACCTTTATGGGAGTCAGTAGTTAGGTAGTTATTATGACGGACATGAGTAGTTACCACAGAAGATAGACTCTTAAATCCACAAGAATCAGCTGGAGGAACTGGCTGCTCGTCCCCATTCCAGAGGTTTGGAGTTGAGGCCAAGGAACCGGCGTTGTTCGCATGCACTCTACGTCACTGTGCTTCAGAGTGTTCCTCTTACAATCTCAAAAGTTCGAGTATGACCTGAACCCGCTTAGATGCTGATAGGTTTTTTTCTTAAAAAACAAAACAAAAACCACTGCCCACCATGTGGTCGGTGTGTGGACATTTCAGGGGATTGGGATTGATTAGTGCGGCTGGAGCTTTATGATAACGAGGCATACATTTGCGGTGCTTGCTTTAGTAAGGGGAAAAGCTTTACATATCCATAATTTGCTGAATGTCACCTCTATACATGGGTTGACATTGTCTTAAGACTTTTATAACCTAGCTATACATGATATAAATCAGTCACCCACCAGACAGACACAGGCAATCAATGGAAGAGAAGATTTAAATGGTTCTACTGCCGGTAGAATGCAAACCTTGTGGCACGTTGGTGAAGCAAGCACTTGGCTGCAAGCTGAAAGCCTGTTTGGCAGTTTGGACCCACCAGCTGCTCCTTGGGAGAAAGAGTGGATCATCGGTTCCTGTAAGGATCACGGGTCAGGAAATCCTCTGGAAGAGGTCTGCGCTATCACAGATGACACACATGTCCTAGGACACGCGCCGTGACCATTGAGGGTTGATACTGAAGGTCCGGATGTCCATTCCTCCGAGAAAACAAAATGACTTGAACGCTGTTTGTTGGTGGTGAAGAAGATCGAAAGTCCCAGGCTGTCCAGAGGCACGGACAGATCTGTCTGGGAGAGCTTCACCAGAAGGCTTCTTCGAGGCACGAGGGATGAGCTGTCATCTACATACTTCGGACATGTCCTGAGCAGAGACTAGTCCCTGGAGAAGGACTGCATGTTTGCTAACGTGGATGGGCAACAACAAGGAGGCAGGCCCTCACCGAGATGGACCGACGCAGTGGCTGCCATCATGGGCTCCAACGTCAGAACAGTGTGCGGACAGACAGATGGACAGACGGCACGGACCGGCAGGCGTTCCCTCGTGCAGGGGTCCCTGTGAGCCAGAACGGACCTCAGGGCATCTAACAACAACAACAATAACAACAACAACATGAGTTATACCTCAGTTCTTCCAGGCTGGAACTTCCTTTTATTAGAGTCTTTGTTTATTAAAATGTAATAAAAACCTACTGAATACAGCATAGAGAATGAAACATGGTGTTGGACGTTTCTGGAGACTTCAAAGGAGCAAACTCAAGTGGAAACTGAACTTCAGCTTGACTGTCACGATCTCGTCCTATCTCACTCCTTCGTCTATTTTACGGCGCTGTCAGACCGGGTTCTTCATGGGTTCTTCATGACTTTGCGGGTGCGTGCCATAGTGCCTCACAGCTGGATTCATGACTTTGCGGGTGCGTGCCATAGTGCCTCACAGCTGGATTCATGACTTCGCGGGTGCGTGCCATAGTGCCTCACAGCTGGATTCATGACTTCGCGGGTGCGTGCCATAATGCCTCACAGCTGGATTCATGACTTCGCGGGTGCGTGCCATATGCCTCACAGCTGGATTCATGACTTCGCGGGTGCGTGCCATAATGCCTCACAGCTGGATTCTGCTCCCTCGGCCTCACCATTTCTCCCACCACCTCCCCCTGAGCGCATGCCCCCCACATCCTGCAAGACCCATTTCTAGGAAGATCTCCGTTCTAAGGCTCGCCACCCCTGTAGCGTTTTTTCATTTCTTGTAGAGACTATGCCACATTTGACATCTTGACCCTTCTGTTCGATTGAAACTCTTTAAAGAAAAAGCCTATTCTCTGAACGTTTGTCTAACTCCCAACAGAGCCCAGCTGGATGTCTTCAACATGGAAGTCATCAACTAAATACAGGTATGACACCCAACTTATGTGAGGTCCCTGTGAAAGACTCTGTTGTAAAGTGTTTCTGACATAAGTCAAATCAATCTCCCGCTCTTTCTCGTTTTCTTTATTGTCTGAATACAATATGAGGTAACATCTTAATGATAACATCAACAGATTACATGCCACAGCATGGTAGAGTACATATTACTAACAAGATGCTAAAAAAAGAAATCAGTAACATATAATCATAAGTGTGGCTCATTGTCCCTCAAATACTTCCTGAGTCAGGGACTACCTATATTACTTGGAAAAGGTAACTACTAAAATTAAACGGAAACATTTGATGTGATCTGAATACAGAATTATTATGTGCCTACAAGATAATTAAACATAATTGGTCAGCAGTTCACACAAATTACTTTAATTAATATTACTTTTGCACAGTCAAAATAAGCTTCAGTTTTTTGTTGATTTATTCACTCTTAGTATTATAGTTAGCATTTGTGTTCATAATTTTCCTGTTTTCCTTCCTTCTTCCTTCTCTCCTCCCTCTTCGTTCTCGCTCCCTTTCCCCCTCCCTACCTCTTCTTTCTTTTCCCTACCTCTTTTCTCATCTCTTAGTCTCTCCCTAATCTGCGCCAGGGCACTCACGAGTTGGAATTGACTCGCTGAAGTGAGTCTGGTTTCGGTGTGAGTTGAATCTCTGTCTCCACAGTCCTACAAACATTGCTGTTTATCAGTGACCTCCATGGGCCCTGAGCCAGTCCTATGACT